AATTCCAAGAGAACAAAAAAATTCTTCTTTTAGATGGTTACAAATATAATAGAAGTTAAATGCGATTTAACTTGCGATGATGTAAGTTTGGGTGTCCCACAGGCCGGAAAATATAAACCCATGTGACTGATTTAAGAAAACAGGACCAGGAAGCCACTTCGGTTGGTCATGGAAGGTTTGTTCTCTACAAGGGTACCATGAGAGGGGAAATATTTTTTGTTGTGATGACAACTTGGGGCAAGGGCAGCTTTTCCTATTCCACACCAAAGGTCTTAATTCATCCTGGTGGCCCTGTTGATTGAGCTGTAACATGGTTTTATTTTGACGTTGATCTTTCATAATAATTTTTACTATATTAGTCTAGATTCATTTTAGGGGAATGACATCAATGAAGCACCTCTAACTACTCAACCCTTAGCTCTTCATCGGAATGCTAATGGAATAGCTTATTGAGCAGCTTTAAATCCAGTAATTTCAAATCTAGAAAGAAGTAATATCAAAACCTAAATAAACAGGCAGATGGCAAGCATAAATGCAGTCTACTATGAAGGAATGTACCTCAAGCTGCCCACGCGTATAGTGTCCTCGTGTCCAAGTACCTACTCGACTTTCCAGGTACCATAAGCATGAAAGAAATTTACAGGCTTAAACTGGGAAATAAACTTAACTTTTTAAAGAAAACAAACATATCAGAGCTAAACCAGTCTAAACTAAAGATCACATCATACAATTACAATTCTGAGTCTAAGGGAAAAGAAAGAAATATAAAAATTCTGACTCAGCATGCTTTTCTTTAGAGATGTATCACAATATTCTCTTGTAGACAGAGACAAAAAACCTTCAGATAAACATTTTATTTTTTAAACAGTAAAGCTTGTCAGATAACTCTACACATATGAAATGGTTCTCATTTCCACCCTAATGAAAAATAAAATAAAATCTAAAATCAGAGGCTTTTGTGTTAGCTTGGAATTTGCAATAACCAAGTAATGCCTGCTTTATTTTAGTAGAAACACCACAATAATCTAACTTACGAATGCACTGAATGCAATAAGCTCTTCACTGAAAAATCTGAAAATATCACATGCTGTGAATGCTGAAATAATTACAACTACACACATATGAAACAGCTGGCTGTGTCAGGCTCCAACAACTTGCATTGTTGTTAGTACGCTAAATGCCAACACCCACATTCAGAAACCGCTATCGTGCAACATAACCTTCGGAATTTCACAGTATTGGTCAAACATATAAAGCTAAAGCAAAACACCAACAATACATCTGCTTTGTGATATGAAGAGGGAAAAGGATGTGCAACTTTATGAATAAATTCTACCACCCTAAATAAATGAAGTAAAATAAACCTACAGAAACAACAGAAAAATGTTCTGTTCCCCACCATGTTACCCTCCCATAATAGGCCTCATCCTTCTTTAATCTTTCATTTGAATCAGCTGTTTCTAAACTGCCAAAATTTAATCTTTCTTAATTATCCTTCTTTAAAAAATCCAAACTCTAATCATTTCACACCTTTTAGGATCATTAAAACAAAAATAACAACGCAGAAAGATGACACACAACAAGGTAATCAGCAATCTGCTACTCTCCACAAGCTTCTAAAGACACTTATTCTGAATATCCTTATTCAGGAAAAAAAAAAAAACCTACTGAAACAAAAAATATATTATTCATGCAATTATACCCAACATATGATGTACACTAATGTTTTGATGATTAGAAAGCAGAAGGGACCCAAGTATTTAGGAACAATGAAAATAGTCTATGTGAACAGCCAAGGGGCATTAAATACACTGCAGTCAACAGTACTGCAGAATAAAAGAACCCACTCTCTGCAGCAACTTGCTTCAGGTGGGGGTGGGGATGGGGGCTCAGGTGGGAAATATGTCTGGCTTAGTGTGGAGGTTTGATTTAAATTATTACTTTTCACTATACTTATGCTTATGAAGCTACTGGCTTTTTGTTGTTTTCAAGTACTTCTTTTTAAGAACCACACTGACCAATGCACAAGCTGAACTACCAAAGACCTAATGACCCACAATATACTCCCAGGAAAAAGATAAGAGCTAATATATTTGAGTGCCTACTGTTAATATATGCTGATACTGAACATAATCAGCCTGTGTTTGGAAATAATATTCTTAATGACTATCCTGTTCTCCTTTCCTTATACTACGCAAATGCTCAAGAATGTAAATTTCTTTGGAAAATGTAAAAAATCAATCTATCCTATTACATACCCTATGCTGAAAGACAGTATTAGTTAAGAGGGCAGTATCTGAAACTATGCTTCTGGAATAAAATGTCATCCCCAAGATTTACTCCCTGGACAATCTTGGGCAAGTTATCTAACTTCTCTGGGCCTTAGTTTCCTCATTTGAAAGAGAGATACTAGTACATACTTCAAAGGATTTGTATGATTAAATGGCACAGTGCCTCTAAAATACATGGCATAATGTCTAGAGTTCAGGAGAGTGCATGTCAGCTAATATAATTATTATTAGGGTCATTCAGTTGGCCCTACGTTCATGAAATTATGATTTGTGCATGTAAAATACACACAAAACATACATTCACAAATACAGCGCACATATATATGGATACATATGGATATACACACTTACAAAGAATTCTACATGGCCATTCAACTATCCAAAAGAAAAGAAAGCTGCAGAGTTGCTGAGGCTACAATTTAAAATGCCTCATGTTCAGTCAATTTTTGAAATGCTATCTTCAGAAATTCAGCAATTACAGGGAATCTGAGTAAAATTCTGCAAGGACAGCTTTTCTTCTAAATGGGTTTGTAATATGAATTTGATTATTAATCAAACATTAGCATATCTGCTACGTAGCATGCCATCTTCTCCTGGTAACAAATTTGTTACTTGGTTATACAATAGGAAGTTTTAAGAAATTAATACATAGCTCTTTCAGGACATTAAGAAGTTTTCAGAACAGATTGTTAAAACAAAGCTTAGGTCCTCGGCAAGTAAGTGGCCCTTCCTATGAACACATGCTCTACAATAAAACAAAACAAAAAAACCACTAACTCAAAGTTGTGTAATGTTTTAGTCATTGGAAGAAATGTTTAAATGATATGAAACCAAAATGGAGAAAGTGACAAATAGTGAGACAGGACAATACAGAGATGCGAATATTTATTTTTACAGTCCCATATAAGTAGATTTTGTGGCATGCACATTTTCTAAATCACTGCTCTTCAGGAGTGTGAGCTTCATTTATGATCACATACATGTTTCTTAAATGCTATGACTACACATATGCAGTTTTGTATCTTTCGTTCTATCCTGATTAGTATTTTTTTACTTGCATCCTATTTGCCACCTGAATAAGCCTTTCCTAGGCTTCCCTACCATCATCCACTCTTTATGTCAGCCATTCAAAAGGGATCTTTACACTGCATTTAATTTTGTTCTTTGGTGTCTAAAACATTTCACAAGAGCAATGATATAAATGGCAAAGATTATTTGACCTATGTAGGATGAAACAACAGTTAGTTACTACTATAAATATAATCCCAATGAATGGAAATACTGTAATCTCAATAATTACCACAGAATAAACAGTAACATAATTCAGTACAAAGTATGTTAAGTTTCTTTCCTGAATTACCTTGTATGAAATAGAGGAGAAAAGTTGGAATATTCTAAGTCTAGGAGATTGGATGTGAACATCAAGAAGCTTTACAGATTGGTGGGACTTTTAAAGAAAAAATTTAACTTTATTTAAAAACATGGTTTCTCTTTGCTTGTTATAAATACTGTATCACTAGAATGATACTAGATTTGATAAGGTCAGCAAGGGGTGAGGTGGAGATTGTCATAGAAGCATCAAAATAAAAATGCAAGAGCAAAGCACTTACACAGGGGAAAACCATGAATAAAGGATTAAATATGTGAGCTTTCCATTTATGGACATTATTAGTGTTACTTACCATCATGCCCTGTCCCCGTCTAATCATATTATTGCTTCCTTTTCTTCCCTGCACAATTCAGCATTTGCCAGGGTGGCAGCAGTAACTACCCTTTATTGAGTGATTATTACCACATGCTTTCAATGTATCACCTCACATAATTCTCAGATCATTCCCATGGGAAAGGTACAATTATTTTCCACATTCTCTAGAAAAGGAATTTGAGATTCATGGAAGAAAAGTGGCTTGCCCAGAGTCACACAGTGAATAACAAGGATTGAAACCAGGGTACGTCATAACCTAGCGTCCAGTCTTACGACCACTGCCTCCCACCACTATCCCCAGACAAGGACACACAGGTCAAGACTGCTTATGTAATATCAGGAGGATACTGCAAAGTCAACCTCACTTCAGCAACACACACACTCACTAATGAGTATTCTAGATATAAGCAAGCCACAATTACTATTTTTCTTATTTGTAACTTAACACATATCAGTAATGAGGAAGAAATTACCTGTTTATTTTCACATTAACTATCAGATAAATATGAGACCACAGAGACACTATTTTTAAACCATGCAATACATTCATAACTCAGTATGTTTACTATAAATCACAAACACAAAAATCTTAATACTAGTTTCCAACCATATTTTCCCTCTTCTATTTTACATCAAAGTTCTCAGACAAGCTTCTCCTAGTTTTCAGAAAAGATTAAAATCACTGTACTGAGTATTATGGAAGTAGTTGAATTCAGGACATTTCTATTGCCTTCTGATTGCTGTGGTTTTTTGTTTGTTTGTTTGTTTTTTAGCTGAGTAATCCTGCCACCTGTTGGCAGCTCAGTGGCAGCTAAGCTCAGGCCGGGAATCGAACTGGTGACCTTGTTGCTCAGAGCTCGCACTCTTGAGCGAGTGCTTAACCAACTAAGCCACTTGGCTGGCCCTGATTGCTGTGTTTTTATTTATTTTACTTTCTCTGCATAACACTCACTACCTTAAGTAGGTAGAACCAAAGGACAAGGAACCAATACCAGCTGTCTTACCTGTTTAAGAGCCTTTTTGGTGTGTTGCTGAAAGGAAGACACTAGCTTGCTTTGCACTGCTGTGTTAGTAAGGCTCGAGTCTCGAGTGGAAGATGCTTCATCAGTTACCTGCTTCGCACAAACTAGAAACAGAGAGAGATAATGATATTACTAATTTGAATTCCTTTTTTTAATATCCACTGTAATTAACTTGAAGCTTTTTCTTCAGGTGAAAATGGATACCTAAAATAAAGCAAAATAGCATGGTATAAGGAAGAGTTACCTAGACTGGAATGCAGGGATCATTTAATAACTGTGCGGCTACAGTTACATTTAGCCTCCCTAAGTCTCCATTTCCTTACCCACTAATTGATGCTAATTTCTATGTCATAGGGTTATTGTAGCAATATAAAAAGGAGCATAATATCTGTCTCAAGAGTTGGGAGTCAGTAGCTATTTTCCAAATCTGAATAAGGAGATTGGGCAATGCATAGTATTCTGAAGAAACAATCTAAATTAATGAAGTTGTTTTAAATCTATCAACCTCAGAGGTATTATGAGTCTTCTATTTTTTAAATTACATTTATTGGGATGACAATGGGTAGTAAAATTACACAGGTTTCAAGTGTACAATTCTATAATACATCATCTATATATCACACTGTGTGCTCACTACCCAGAGTCAGTTCTCCTTCCATCACCATATATTTGACCCCGTTTACCCTCTTCTACCACCCTTCCCTCCCCTCTCACCCTCTGGTAACCACTAAACTGTTGCCTGTGTCTATTGAGTTTTTGTTTCTTTATTTGTTTGTCCCTCATGAAGACATACAAACAGCCAACAGATACATGAAAAAATGTTCAACTCACTAGCTATTAGGGAAATGCAAATCAAAACCACAGTGAGCTATATCACCTCATACCTGTTAGAATGGCTATCATCAACAAGACAAATAATAAGTGTTGGAGAGGCTGTGGAGAAAAATGAACCCTTATACACTGTTGGTGGCAATGCAGATTGGTGCAGCCACTAAGGAAGGCAGTGTAGAGGTTCCTCAAAAAATTAAGAATAGAATTACCATATGACCCAGCAATTTCTCTCCTATCTACCCAAAAAATATGAACACATTTATCCATAAAGATATATTACTCTGATGTTCATTGCAGCATTATTTACAGAGGCCAAGACATGGAAGCAACCAAAGTGCCCTTCGATAGATGATTGGATAAAGAAGATATGGTATATATACACAATGGAATACTGCTCTGCCATAAGAAAAGATGAAATAGTGCCATTTGCAACAACATGGATGGATCTTGAGATTATTTTGCTAAGCGAAATAGGTCAGACAGAAAAAGTCAAGAACCATATGACTTCACTCATATGTGGGATATAAAACTAAAAGCAACAAATGATTCTTCTATTTAACAGCCCTGCTTCTGTAGAATCAATGCCCTGTTGGGGAATGTTCATTCTCTCCTATGGGCCAAGTCACACAGCATGGAAAAAGAAAAAAATGAAATTTGAAATGCTGTGTGTCAGTCAATTTAAGATAATTCTTTTCAAGAAAATCGAGCCCTCTGAGATTATAGCATAATCTGGTCATGTGTACTAGAGGCAAGCTTTCCTATTGCCTTGTCTACAGAAGACATTTGCTTAGAAAAGACACCGCTTTTCAGAAAAACCAGACTTGTTGACATGGATAACCAAAGCGCTCACATTCCCCTCCTGCTCTGTGAAGCCTGAGGTAGAACTAGAACACTTCTTTCAGCCCTCTTCACATATTCCACCTGCGAGACTAGCTCTAACCCTGGGGTGGCTTGGCAAAGCGCAGATGTGGGCCCTTTTCTGTCCCACTAGAAGGAGGTATTTGGAAAATCAAAGTGAGGAAGCACTATTAGAGGCAGAATGGAGGCATATACCAAAGGCAGGAGGCAAACGGAAATCAGATGGAAGAAAGTATCTTCAGAAAATATTATAAAAGCTCCAAATATGACTTTTTAAGGGCACTATGGTTAATACTAATCCAAGAAAATTTTCTAAGGAACAGTAACTGGGGAGAATTCTGACCTGAGTTTTTTTTTAAGGTGGAATAAAAATGATTCTAGCCCCAAATGGAAGTATATGGATGTGCATAGTGTTGAGAACACTTAAGCTGCTCTCTAGATAGAGTCAAGCACATACTGCTGAGAAATGAAAATGTGGTTCGTGAAAGAGAATGTTTGGAAAAAAAGAGTTAATCAAGTTTTGTTTTAATACGGCAAGTAATCAGCAAGCCAAAAATGAACAAGTTTTGGCAGATGAAATAATTGTTAGTTATTAATGCCCGGCACTTTACATATGTGATCTCATTTCATCCTCACAGCTTCCTTGCAAGATGGAGAGTTATCTCCATATTGGAGAGAGAAAACTGGAGTTCAGAAAGACTCAATAACTTGCCCATAGTCACACAGCCAATGAAACACCAGAGCTGGGATCCAAAGCTAGGCCCATAATTTTCCACTTAAAATATTTGGCCTCAAAGCCAAGAACTGATGTAGAAAATTCAGCGTCTAAAGAAGTCTAATTTACTTGCATCATGTTGGCAGTACTGAAACAGGAAGTTAATAAGGGCACAAGGAACAAGTCATTTAGCCCCTGACATGAAAAACATTGAGAACTGTGAATGAGAGTGATTGACTGGCTCAAGAAACGCTATGATTGAAATATTATAGCAAAAGGATTTGCCCATGGATATAACGAGAGAAGTCCTTGAATTAAAAGATCAGGTGATTTTTTTTCTATTTGATACAATATGGCATTTTTCCCTTAAAACAGTCTAAATGTTCTAGTTAAGAAACATTTTTATAACACGACTTGCATAAACCATGGCTCCCAGGTGTCTCTCCTCGAAGTGATGACTAAAGTAATTTGTAACACTTTGCCAAAGCTTACTTATCAAAAAATATTAGAAATAATCATCAGTTTATAAAGATTAATTTGTTTTTGTATTGATTCCATGGATGGCCTTTTCAATGTTCTGAAGCCCCTATGAAGTGTGACAAATTGCGGGGAGAGGGTGTGAGAGGAAAGTGGCAGACAGGATATATGACCCCAATTGAACGGACCTAAACGGATGTGATGTAAGCCCAGCCAGAAGTCAAGTGTGCAGTAGCAAATATGTTTCATTACTTTCACATTCTTAGAGTAGTATTTCCACCTGGAAAAATGGAAACTTACAGGTTAAAAAGAATAACCAAATACAGTACATGGATTTTAGGAAATTTATGGAAAATATAAGAATGCTGCTGCCTTCTGGACATCTCAACTTATCAATTTTCTTAGGTGTTTCAAAGGTAAACTTGAATGCAGCAGGATAAAAAAAAAAACAAGTGCTGAATCAGTGTATATGTAATTAAAGGCTCATGTCACTTATATTTTCTAACTGCCACAATAAGCAGTATATAATCCGCGGTCCTTCCTGTGGACGATAGATATCTATCTTACAACTTGCTCTATTTTTTTTCTGACTTAGGAAACCATAGGCTGTTGTGATACCTATATTTTGGTATCAGCATATATACTGTGCAGCTTGGTTTAAATTCACAATTGCACTGTGTTAACAGTGTTACACATATATTACACACAGTGTTTCCAAAAGAAAGATTTTGTTCAATTTAGAGCCCCAAACTTCAGATGCAGGGCAGAACAATAAAATCGAAACAGTGTCAAAAAATACTAGGAAGGTTTTCTCTCAAGATGATTCATTTTCCTTTAACTCAACTCTATTTTGCTTTATCTTACATTCCATCCTAGACCCAAGTGAAGCATTATGAGAATTCCTTTCCTACATAGGCATTTTCCTCCCTGATCCCTCTTTCTGGAATTTGGTCCTGTTTCTCTGGGTCAAATCATTTTCCCCTGGTTATTTCTGATAACATAATTATAGATTCTTAAAGACAGTGAATGTAATAAAAAATAATAATAAAATCTATAAGTGAGTGTGTGTTCCTTTGGGATAAAACCACTTATTTTTAAGGAAAAGGAATCAAGAAAGAAAAAATAGGTGGGGCACAATGTAATGAATGCATAGACTCCAAACAGTGTGTCTACATGTGTGTGTTTGTGTGCGTGTTTGTGTATGTGCATATGTGTAAGTGCAAGTGTGTGCATATACGTGTACATGTGTATATGTGTGTATGTGCATGTCATATGCATGTGTGTCAATACAGACAACATAACATGGGCATATATTAGGCATTATTCACTCTTTTGCATGTATCTGATGATGGTGGCTCAATCTAAAAACACTAAGTAGTTGGATTGTATTGGTTCATGAAGATTCATATTCTGACAAAACACATGGCTTCTACTTTGACTTATTTTTGTAGCTTTCTTAATAACAGATGTGATAAATAAATAATACAAGGCTTATTTTAAACAGTTGCCTGAATATTTATCTAAGGGACCAAGTTGGCCTCTGAAACACAAGCCAAAGAAAATTAATGTTAAAAAAGGACGAGGGGAAATCCCCTGTATGTGAAACTACAACAGGAGCCAGGAAACTGAAGAATTAGGACAGATGTTTTATCCAATAAATATCAAACACTGACATGCAGCTTAGCAAGTGATATCTTCTTGGCACTCAGAACAGAATGGGGGTAATGGCACTGGCACCATCACAAAATGAATGCCAGGTTTGTATACCTTGAAGCCCCACAAGACTGCCTACCCTTTCGTAGGTGGACAAATTAAAGATCAGAAAAAACTTTTTTGAAGTTATAGAAATACTACTGCTGTCTACATTTGGTTTGCCTGCCCAAACTAGGCAAGCCAGAAAAAACAGTTAGATGCTAATCTGCTTTTAATTAGACAGTAAATGGGATTCTCAGTAACTGCTGCTCATCTACCAGTATTCCTGCTCACACTCAGATTCCCAAACCCCTCCTGCAAAATACTCTGTTTAGAAGGTGTGGGAGCAAAGTGAGATGGAGGACTATAGGTAATCATAAGACAGGCTTGAAGGCTAGAGAAACTGGTGACTAAGTTCCAGCAAGGCTGGATTTCAGCCTATTTTCTCAGTCTCCAAATTGCCCCTCTCTCCCCACTTTTTCAGTCGCCATTCAACCTGAAAATGTGACTGAACTGGAAAACATGGTTTAC